GGATTCATTTGACACAAACTAAGAACAATGTTGACTCCTAGGGAATGCCCCAGTGTCACAAGGCGACTTTCAGCTTGTATTAAGCTTCCGTCATTTCCAGATACAGCATTTGGTCTACTATTATTAAACTTGATACTCGGCTTCCCTCCTATATCTAATAGGAATTTCAATCTTAGTATGTCCAAAGCTGAGCTCTGGTCTTCCTCTACTTCCACCCCTCCAATTGCTAAGGCTAAAATATTAATTACCCTTAACTCCTCTCTCATGCTTCTTATATCCTATTCATTAGCAAGTCCTCCAGGCCAACAGCATGCAGAATCTGATCTGATTATTCTCATCAGATTCTCTGTTGCATCTAAATCCAAACCAGTTTTGACCAGGATCTTGAGCCACCTCAAAGTTTTCTGCTTCCTTTTTGCTCTCTACATTATATTCTTCTTTTTTTTAATATATATGGAATGCTTCATGAATTTGCACGTCATCCTTGCAAAAGAGCTATCCTAATCTCTGTGTTGCTCCAATATTTTAGTATATGTACTGCTGAAGCAAGCACTATAATCTATTCTTAACAGATATTTGTTAATTTGTAAATCTTGCTGCTTCATTTCTCTGCTTAAAACACAATAGTATGCAGTGGCTCTGGTGACCTAGTGGCAAGAAGCTGCACTGCAATCTCAGGGGTATGCTGTTTGAATCTACTAGATGCTCTGCTGGAGAAGGAGGGTCAATCTCCTCCTGTACCAGTCAGTTCCACTTTGAGAGTACACACACACACACACGCACACACACACACACACACACACACACACACATAAATTTTTAAAAACCCACCACAATGGTGTCCATATATTTCAGAGGAAATGCCAGTGTACTCAGAATGGCACAGTAAGCCTCACTTGATCTACTTCTATTACCTCTCTACAGGCCCAGTTGACACAGTGGCTGGTTGCTGACAGGTTGACAGTTTGAACCCACCAAATATCTTCACGGGAGGAAGAACTGCCAATCTGCTTCTGTAAAGGAAAACATTTTTACACCATCACATACAGTCTGTGGTTGAAATCAACTCTAGGCAGGGCACCTAACACTAATAATCTTCTCTGACAACAATCTGGAACAAGAAGTGCATTTCAAAGTGGAGTGGGCAGGTGAGGGAGAGGGAAGAAAGAAAATGTGCAACAATGAATAAAAATGTAAAAAGAAAAATAACAAAAAAATAACAATAACAATCTTTCTATCCTCCTCAACTCCTCCTGTCCCTTCACACTCTATTCCTGGCATATACGTCTTCCCACCAGAGCTTTTGTATATTTTTGCCCTCTACCTGGTAAAGAAGACAAAGACAAAGACAAAGATTCTCACTACTTGACTAACTGGCAGAATCAGGATGGATGGTGAAGAGACTGAGATTATTCACAGCTTTAGTCAGCTTGGCTCCACAATCAGTACTCTTGGCACCAGCAGCCAGGAAATTAAAATACTTATTGTGATGGGAAAATCTGTTGTTAGGGACCTCTCTAAAGTACTGAAGAGCAA